GTGCCTGTAAGTCATTTTGTGGATTCCAATCAGAGTCATAAATAATAACTGTATCAGCTTCACTTAGATTAATACCAATGCCACCAGCTCTAGTACATAACAAAAATACAAATCGCTCTCCTTTCATAAATCTATCAATAGCATTTTGTCTATCATTCGACCGAACACTACCATCAAGCCTTTCATATGTATATTTCTTATAACTAAGATATTTTTCTAATATATCTAACACTCCTTTTAGTTGACTAAATATTAATACTTTATGTCCATCTGCATTCAGTTTAGGTAATAATTTATCTAGCAACACCATTTTACCTGATGACTTGATTAACTCTTGTGCATATGACTCTGGATCATCTGGATTAGCAATTTCTTTTTCCTCAACACCAGGAATCAAAAATGGATGATTACAAACTTTTCTTAATTGGATCATCAAATTTTGTAAATGAGGGACATTAGACCCAACACACCCTTTATTTAAAAATTCTCTATTTTTATCATATAATGCACGGTAATATTTCTTTTGAACTAAAGTTAACTCTACTTCAATCAATATCTCTTCTTTAGGTGGAATAGATTTTTCAACATTTCCTTTAACTCTTCTTAATAGATATGGTTGAATTTCTGTTTGTAATGCCTTCACTCCGTCAGCAGTTTTAGCGTCACCAAATTTTTCATGGAAATTTTCTAAAGATGGGAAGTTCTCTGGATTAATAAAATTAAGTAATGTCCATAATTCATCAATATTATTTTGAATTGGTGTTCCAGTTAATAATATTTTATGATATGATGGTATTTCTGTTAATGTTTTATTTAATTTTGAACTTTTATTCTTTAATCGTTGTGCCTCATCAACAACAGTAACTTGCCAATGTATTTGAGATAATATTTCATAGTCACTCATAATCATTTCATATGTTGTAATTAATGCATGGAATTTAATTTGCTTAGATATTTCTTTCTCATCTTTATTTAAGTAAAACCATTCATAGTGTTGAATTAATTGTCGATTTTCTTTAGTCCCTAAATACACAACAACATTCATATCAGTCCATTCATTAATTTCTCTTCTCCAATGTTCTAATGTAGACAATGGAGTAACTACTAAAAATGGTCCTGGTAATTTTTGAAATGATCTTAAATGTTCAAAGAAAGCCACTACTTGTACAGTTTTTCCTAAACCCATTTCATCTGCTAAAATACATCCTTTTCCTCTACACCAATTAAATACTAACCAATTTAATCCTTCCATTTGATAAGAACGTAATGTATTATCATGTCTATAAGGATGTTCTTGTACTTGCCATAGTCTATCAGGTAGTGGTGGTTCGATAGTTGATGGGTCTGGTGGAATATGAAACTTTTTGTATTCATCTAATTTGTCTTGATCCTTAATTTCTGATTTCTTCTCCCATGTTGCTTCTAAATAAGATAATCCTCCTCCCCATTTCACTAAACAATATTCTTCTCCATTAATTTCTTTTTCAAATAAAATTCTTTCAACAAGTGTATATTCAGGTGGAAAAATATCATCCTCTTCATTATAATGATACTTAGAAGCAAACCGTTTGAGTCGAGTTGGTTGAATAACTTCTGATAAGTCTTTTCCTTTCACCCATTCAACATCCCTGTAACTTCTGTTCTTATACTTTACCATAAATTCAGCTTCATCTAAATCATCTGATCCTTTCATAGCTAGTATTTTCTCGACAACTTTCTCTGTTGTTGGTTCTTTAAGAAACTTTTTAATTGTTGTAGATTTTTTCTTTTCAGAATCAGATTCATATTCGTCTAGTTGCTCTTCTTCAACAATTTTAGCTGATTTTTTTCTATCTCTAAATGAATATTTTCTTGTTGGAATAACTTCCTCTTTTTCTTCTTTTACCTTTTTTTCCTTTTTTTCAATAACTCGTACTGGCATTACTTGTTTTGCTATTGAAGCTGCTTTCATTGATTGAAGCTTTGCTTGTGTTTCTGCTGGAATATCATGTCTCACTGCTGATTTAACCTGAGGTCGAACAACAGGTCTACTTTGAAACATTGAAGGTGGTGGTGGTCCTTGTAATGGATATTGCATAAACCTTCCATCAACTTGTACAGGATTAAACATAGGTCTAAATTGACATCTTTGCATACCCGAAGGAGGTTGTCCATTAGGAGTAACTCCAACTCTTTGTGGTGGTAACACAGTATGTACAGGTGCAAATTTAAGATAATTTCCTAATGGAACTCGTTGATTTATATTACCATTAAATGGTGCTCTAAATTGACCAACAAACTGTTGTGGATATCGAAATTGTGGTTGATGAAATCCTGGTTGTGGAGGAACAGCTCCTCCTTGTGGCACTCTTGGTATTGGTTGAATACCTTGAGGTGATACTGTAGGTTGTGGAATTGGTGTATTTAATTGTAATTTTAATGCATGACTTTGTGGTATTATTCCAGAAGCAGTCATTATTGGTTGAGGTTGAATGACTCCAGTTTGTTGTGATATGTTTTGGTTAATAATTCCATTTGGAGACTGTTGAACCTGTTGTTGAGGAATTCGTTGTTGAGAAACTATTCCATTAGGTGGAATACCCATTTGTTGAGGTGGGTTTAATACTAAAGAAGGTTGTTGTAAAGATATTTTTTGGTTTTGTTGATTTATTTGTTGTATAGGTGGTTGTAACGGATTATGAATATGTTGTAATGACTGCTCTTGTTTTGTATGAAGTTGAATATCTTCTTGTTTAACTTTGTGATTAAGGTCATTCTTTTGAAGACTTTGCTCTTGTGTTGTTTCTTCTTTCATATCTTCTCCATCAATTTTAGACACTAAAATATTTTCTTCGTGTTTTATTTGTTTTGGTTGAATAGGTTGTTCTTCATCTTTTTTAGTTTCTTGTTTAACACTTTCAAAAGAAGTAATGATATTAGGTTCTTGTTTAATTTTAGGTTGTGCATCAGGCTGAATATTTTCTTTTAAAAGAAAATTAGTATTATTTCCATTTTCCTTTAAAACAGTTTGGCTAATAACATTTTCATCAAGTTGATTCTGAACAATTACTGGCGGTATATTATTAGATGTTGTAATAAGAATATTATCCTGAACTTGAAGGGAACCATTAGGAGTATTAGATGGTTGTATGTTGTGGTCTATTGAAATATCTTTCTTTTCAACTTGGTCACAAGATTGATTGATATCACCGTGTGGTGGTGATTGATTCATAAACAGAAAATGGATGATCTCAATTTTATTTTCACTATAAAACCCTTTTCATAAAAACATTTCTCAAGTGTCTATATATCTTATCCTTATTAGTCTCTATGCGTTATATCCACTTTTTCTTTTCTTTATATTCTTTTCTTTCTAGTTAAAACAACAGTATTTTCAATAATTTATGTTGAATTACGTTTTTTGCAATTTCCTTCAAAAAAACCCTAAAAATTTCTCTCTTTTCCTTATCAAATTTGCATTATCTTTTCATTCTCACTCCTTAGATTCTTTCCTTTTCTTTCTCTCTAAAAATTTATATTTCATTTTACTAAAATACAAGAATTAATAGAAATAGTTTTTTTACTATTAAAGATCTTAATAATCATTGTTTATCTCATGTCCAAATTCGCATTTAAAAACCTTGAAGAACTTAAGGGTATTGTTCAAATGATTGAAAAAACGAATGCTGACTATATTCCTTTTGTATTAGATCAAGACTCATTAAAGATACAAATGATTAATAGTTCAACCACAGTATATTTCTCAGTTGAACTTAAAGAAGAGTTATTTCACTATTTAACATGTAAAGAAAGAATTCAATTTAGTGTTCCAAGTCAATTCTTCTGTAATTATATTTTAAAAACATGTCAAGTTTCTTCTGAATTAACTGTTGAAATAAAAAAGAAGAAAATATTATTCACTACTTACAAAAAAGGTTCTCCGTTTACTTCAGGTATTCCATTAACATTATGTAAAAGTACAATTGAATTTCAACAACCAAAGAAAAAAGGAGATGCTCGTATAACAATGAAAACAATTGAATTAATTAAATCAGTCAAAGTTGTTGCTGGAATGGATCAGCCACAAATTTCATTTAAAATACATAAAAATGGTAAATATGAAATTATTGGTTCTGGTAATAGTATTTATCAAGATTCAATTCAATATTTCAATGAAGATGGTGTTTTGGCTTCTGTCAATTTAAAAGAAACATTTAATACTTCTGCTCTTCTTAGTTTTATTTGTGTATCACCTCCATTAGACTATATAACAATTTTATTTTATAAATCAGGTCCTACTTATTTTCAATATCATAATGCACTTCTTGATATAGTTGTTGTGATATCTAAAATGCGTGATTAGTGATATCATTTTTTTAAAATAAAATTGTTTTAATTTAATCTTAATCTAATTAGAATTTTAGTGTTTTGTTCTTCATTCTTCTTTTATTAATTAATTCTTTTTTTGTCTTTCATTCTTATTTTTTTTTTTTAATGATTTTTTTTTTACATTAAAAAATGAAGTATAACAAAAAAAATTATAGTATTTTTTACTATATTTATAGTTTTAATTACTTTAATTAATAATACTTTTTTTAATAAAAAATAAAAAAAAAGGGGAATTTACTTCAATGAAATAAATTTAATAACTCTAATAAAAGTATTTTTGACTGTTTATTTTGGATTATTATTTTATTATTATGTTCATTAAATCTAAAAAAATATTTCAATAACTTTTAAAGTAATTAACTAATTTTTATTAATTCATTTTGAATTAAACTAAAATTTTCTAATAATATTAATAATTTTATCATTTTTGTGAACAATTTATTTGAAAAAATTATACCATAGAAAATAGTTGTTATTTATTAAGAATATATCATTAGAATCTGTTAAACTAATGTCTTGAATCAAGTAAAACAATTATCAAAATCAAATTATTTTAAAACAAAAAATATAATTTTAAATTTTTGTTATGTTTCGAAAACTAAAAAAGTTTATTTTCAGTTCTATTAAAACGAATGAAACTTGATCGATATTCTATGATGATAGTATGTAAATATTTTGAGAATGAAGAAGATTATATTGAGGTTATGTGTGTTTGTAAGAAATTTCAAGGAATAACAGAACAATTTCATTATAATCCAATACCAATATCAAGTTTTTCATTATTTCCAAATATTGAAACACAATACCTGTATGAAGATGGAGAAGAAGTATTAAATGGAATCATTAATACTGTTATTTGTTATAAAGTTTCATATAAAACATATAAACAAAAAAAATGTAATAATTATAAATGGTTAAATATTTGTTATGAACGTAGTGATAGAGAAAATAGAACAACTGAAATACCCAAAGAAGTGTGTTCATTAGGATTTGGATGTTTTGAACAAACGTTATTAGAACAACTAAGTATTCCAAATACAATTAAAAAGATTCAGTCATATTGTTTTTATTCAAATAGATTTCTTACTTCAATACAACTTTCAACAAATTTAACTATATTACAAAATGATTGTTTTAAAGGATGTATTGCTCTTAAATCAATTATTCTTCCTTTAAAACTTCAAATTATTGAAAAAGGATGTTTTTCTCATTGTACATCATTAACTTCAATAAAAATTCCTTCCCAAGTTTATTTCTTAGGTGATGACTGTTTTTCCTTTTGTTCATCATTAAAAGAAGTGATACTTCCAAATACATTAACATATATTCCAATAAATTGTTTTAATGAATGTATTTCTTTAAAAAAAATAGATCTTCCAATGTCAATTCAAAAACTAAATGATAGGTCATTTAGAAAATGTTTTAATTTAATAACAATTCAACTTCCATTTACTATTAATACAATAAAAAGTAGTTGTTTTGAATCATGTACTAATTTATTAAAAATAGACCTTCCATCATGTTTAACATATTTAGATGTTTATTCATTCTTTAATTGTATATCTCTTCATTCAATTCATTTTAATACAATTTCCTTAAAGTCTATTAAAAACTCAACTTTCTCTAATTGTTCTTCACTTCATTCTGTTGAACTTCCAAATGGAATTATTGAATTAGAGGAAAATTCTTTTGAAAATTGTTGTAAATTATCATCAATTCATTTCCCTTCTTCATTAACTCATATTCAATCAAATTGCTTTCTTCAATGTACTTCTCTTAACCAGCATTCATTTCCCGTAACAATTCAATTAGACGATTGTGTGTTTGGTATCTAACCTTTTATTTCTAACAAAACAATAGTTCATTTCTTGCTTTTACCTCTACTTGGCTCTAATGACCTTTTTGGTTGATAGTCAATAAGTTTATCAAGTGTAAATCCATTTTGCTCATCAGTTTCAATTCCAAGAGTTTCATATAATTTACTGATTTTCATTCCTGATGACTCAGTAAGTAATTCTGATGCGTCTTTACATATTCTTTTTCTTTTTTTCCATTCCTTAACAAAAAACTCATTATCTTTTAATAACTTTGCTTTTTCTTTAGGGTCAATAGTTATTTTTTGATCCTTAAATTTTTTGTACTTCTCTTCTAACTTACTAACTTCCTCTGAAAGTTGTTTTAATTGTTTTTCTAACTCTTCATTTGATAATTGCGATGAAAGTATTTTGTTTGTTTTTTCTTCTACCATTAATTCTTCTTTAGTTGTGGAAAGAGTAACCTTTAGTTCTTGCCTTTTATTTTCTAATTCTCTTATAACTTCTGGTGTAATGTCAGTTAACTTTGATTGGTTGTACCAATAAATCTTTTGTTTTCCATTAATTTTTTCAATAAGATCCCCTTTTTGACTTAATTCTTCTAATATCCTTGTAACTTCAGCTAGTTTTACATCTCCATGCAAATTTTCAGATACTATTTTAGCGTTATAAGGTCGGTTTTGTTTTTGCATATATTCCAAAACAACTTTCTCACCATCTACTTCCTTTTTACCATCCTTTCTTTTTGACATGATAATTAAAAATATTTTAGATGAAGATTGGCTCTTTTCCGTTCGTTTTTGTCTTTTCGGAATTCCTCAAAAAAAAAAGATTTAATAAGAGATAATTAAAACAAATAAAATTATTCTTTGTTATCCCATATTAAGGGTATTTCCAGACCCTCTTGGATGAGCGTCTTTAAATTCATCCCATTCACGTTTTTCTTTTAATTTCTCATCATCGTCATTTGAGTCATCATCTGCAGATGTGTGTTCAGGCTCTTCAATAGGGTCTAGCATCTCATCTCTTTTTTCTGCTTCCCAGTCTTCATCTGTCATCATTCTACCATATTTGAACCTTGGATTAAATACATTTTTCATTATTTCAAGTTTCTCAGGTTTATACGTAAATTCTTTAACAACACCATTATCATTATTGGATTGTGTTGTAAAATACTCTTGATTTTGGGCTGCAAAAGTTTGTAGTTGTTGTAAGTCTTGAACAGTTGGTTGTTTAGGAATAGTAAAAGTTTTAAATCCACCTCTTCTTTTCTCTGCTTCTTGGTCTTCTTTTTCTTTTCTTTTTTCAAACTCACCGTTGGCTTTCAATTTATTAATTTCTTTTAACATTGTAACTTCTCTTTTTTGATAACCAAAATTATCAATTGAATTAAGAATACATACTCTCAATAATGCTTTCCAATATTCTCTTTCATCTTCTTCATCTAATCCATCTCTTTCTTGTTTCTTTTTGATTTCTATATTTTTTAATATATTTTTGGCTTGTTGACTTTCTTTAAATCGTTCAATTCTAGTATTTCTAGCTTGTTCTGGTGTTTCACTAATACCATTAACCATATCAGTGATGTATTGTTTATTAATAAATCTTAGTCGTGCCATTTCATTAAGAAAAGAAATATAATGGGATTGAGATAATTCTAATGCCTGTACACGATTATCTCGTAATTTTCCATATAACTCTGCAACACTATAATCAATCATTAAATATCCAAGGGAGGATGTAGCAATATCATCATATTCTTCATTTTTACTTATTGCATATGTTTTTTCCTTTTTAATTCTGTATTGTTCTAATTCTTTTAATGCATTAAATACTTCTTCATCATTTTTGACATTATTAAATGATTGTAAAAGGCTCATAGATAAAACACCTTTTTCATTTACTTTATCCATATAATCACTTAAATGAAATAATAAGTTCATAATTTTTGAATTTTTCTATGTTAATTGTCCTTTATTGGTATCTTTTCATCATTTTTCACAATCTCTGCTTTATAAAACATTTTTAAATTATAACTAATCAATAACCCAAAATATAAACTTATAAACCTAATAAAAACCCTCAGAATCTTCGCCACGTTGCGATGATTTGCACTCTACTTAAATAGAACTACTACAGAAAAAAATAGTATCTTAATTTTTATGTCTCTTTCTGCTCTCCACAAATATAGACTTCAATATAAACCTGTTTTACCAAAACACATTGCTGATATAGATAATATTACTATTGAAGAAGGTGCTAAAACCCAATCTGCTGTTAACCAAAAAGAACTTTCAGAATTATTTAAACATACTTATGGACTTCCAATTTGTAATATTGTTGCAGGTAAAAATGCTGATATTCATAGAGTTATTAGATGTGGTTTTATTCTTTCAGGTGGACCTGCTGCAGGAGGACATAATGTAGTTGCTGGTCTTTTTGATGGTTTAATGAAAGGAAATAAAGAAAATAAACTTTATGGTTTCAGATGTGGTGCTGGAGGAATTCTTTCAAATGATTATATTGAAATTACTGCAGAACTTGTTGATAAACATCGTAATACAGGTGGATTTGATCTTGTTGGTTCTGGAAGAACAAAGATTGAAACTGAAGAACAATTTGCTACTGCTTTTAAACATATTACAGCATTAAAACTTAATGCTATGGTTGTAGTTGGTGGTGATGATTCTAATACTAATGCTGCTCTTCTTGCTGAATACTTTGCTGCACATGGTTCAGATTGTGTCTTTGTTGGAGTACCAAAAACTATTGATGGTGATCTTAAGAATCAATATATTGAAACATCATTTGGATTTGATACTGCTTGTAAAACATATTCTGAGCTTATTGGAAATATTCAAAGAGATGCTATTTCATCAAGAAAATATTGGCACTTTATTAAGGTAATGGGAAGATCTGCTTCTCATATTGCTCTTGAAGCTGCTCTTGAAACACAACCAACATATTGTATTATTTCAGAAGAAGTTGAAGATAAGAAGATGACAGTTAGTCAAATTGCTTCAGAAATTGCAGATATTGTTATTGAAAGACATAAGAAAGGATTAAACTTTGGTGTAGTATTAATTCCAGAAGGACTTGTTGAATTTATTCCAGAAGTTAAAGCACTTATTAAAGAACTTAATAATCTTCTTGCACACAAGAAAGAAGAATACTCTAAAATTACTGAATTCTCAGCTCAAAAAGCTTTTGTTTGTGAGAATATTTCTGAAAGTTGTGCTGCTACTTTCAAGAACCTTCCAGATAACATTGCTAAACAACTTCTTCTTGACAGAGATCCACATGGAAATGTAAATGTTTCAGCTATTGAAACTGAATCATTTGTATCAGGAATTGTTAAAGCTGAAATTGTTAAGAGAGGTATTAAAGTTCCATTTACTCCAGTTCATCACTTCTTTGGATATGAAGGAAGATGTGCCTTCCCAAGCAATTTTGATTCTACATATTGTTATGCACTTGGATATACTGCCTTTATTTTACTTGCTCTTAAGAAAACAGGACAAATTTGTTGTATTTCAGGACTTCAAAAACCAGCAGAAGAATGGATTTGTGGAGGTGTTCCATTAACTATTATGATGAATATGGAACAAAGAAATGGTGAAATGAAACCAGTTATTAAGAAAGCTCTTGTTGAAATTGAAGGAAAACCATTTAAATTCTATCAATCCAAACGAGCTCAATGGGCATCAGCTGAAGATTTTGTATTCCCAGGTGCTATTCAATACTTTGGTCCATCTGAAGTATGTGATCAACCAACTAAGACTCTTCTCCTTGAACAAAATTAATTTAGACTTCTTTTTGTTTTAATTGTTTTTTGTTAAAGAAATATATTAAAATAATTAAATTATTTAATTAAAATATTGATTGTTGGGATGAAGTTATTGATTGATTTGTTGAAACTGGTGGGTTTTGTGTAAAAATTTGTGGTTGTTGACTTTGTCTTGAGTTAGTTTCATGGGGAAGATCATCAACATCAAGTGTTAATTGTACAGGATTGATTTTAATACTAAACATCAAATTTCTTTTATAAGTTCTTCTTCTTATAAAAAAGATAATCATAAAGAAAATAACAAAAGTTAATTATTAATTTACTATTAATTGTTCAATAATTCTTGAAACTAATATAGATGCATTATGTGATGCTCTTGATAAATAATCCATCATCTTTTCATGACTCTTACCATCTTCTGAAGGAACATCTGATAATGAACGAATTACTATAAAACGAATTCCTAATTTTGTACATGAATGAGCAACAGCACATCCTTCCATTTCAGCACAAACAATTCTATTATCAAATTTGTTTTGAATCGATTGTACCATTGGAGCTGAAACAAAAGCATCGCTTGTTCCTATAGTTCCATAGTGAATTGTTGGTAAGTCTGATGATGAACACTTAGTTGCAAGAGAAACAAGTTCTTTATCACTAAACCAACTCTTTGGCTCACCTAATAGCTCACCGTAAGCAAACCCTAGTGGAGTGATATCAACGTCAGTATAAACTAACTCTGTGCCAATAACAATATCAAGTGGTTTTTGTCCTAATTTCATTCCACCTGCACTACCTAAATTAATAATAATGTCAACATTAAACAGGTGCTTTATAGTAGAAACTGCTAACGCTGCATTAACCTTACCAACTCCACATTGCATAATAATTATTTCATTATCCTTAATTTTTATATAATGGTAATGAATTCCACACTTTTCTAACATAGTTGATTGAGGGTATTTATCACAGATGGCTTGTAGTTCTTCTTTCATAGGAGCTAAAATTCCAATGATCATGAATTAATCCCGTTTTATTATATTATTTTAAGTTTTTATTTTATTATTTTCAAAATTGTTGGAATATAAAAATATATCAATAAAATTAACCATTTAATCTTCATATTAAGGTTATTTGAATATTTATTTTGTTCTAACTGAGTTAAATTAAAAGGATTATTCGTATTTATATAAGAAGATTTGAAACAACATTTACCCATAGTTTATCAGTATAT